CTCTCTGGTTTCATTTAAAAGAGTCGGTCATCAGATATTGTCCAAGATTAACCTTCAGGGTGGATATAGCTCGCTCACAGCGAGGACTTATCCATGTCATCATTTACTTTTGTGTGTAAATAAAATGTCTCCGTCCGTGTTAAAATATATATTTAAAAAATTACAAAACTAAACAGCCTACAGTATTTTTACAGTCTTTATTTTACAGTTAAAATAATTTTTTATCAAATAAAGTCTAATGTTACAACTAATTGGGGATCCCTTTAATAGTATTTCTGTATTATTTAATTCACATTTAGTCAGTCATACACGTACAGCTCAGTTATTGTCTGTTAGCATTGCTCAGCCTTAGCATGAGAGATGAGGAATGTGACATTTCATGTTTACTGTAATCTAAGTTAAACACAAACTGTCAAAATGTATTACAACTGGCCCTTTTGGGCATCAATATTGCTCATGTGACCCTTAGTGAAAATCAGTTTACGTCCCTGCTTTAATCAGTTCAGACAAGCTTAATCCAAGCTTCTCCACTGGTTGGCAATGGTCACTTTAATGTTGAATCTGATGACGGTCTTCTTGTTCCCCTAGGTCACCAGTTCATCAATAAGTGGGCAACATTGACCAATCCTGGTGACATCAGTACTGGAGTCAAAGGTTACATCAAGTGCGACATTAGTGTCTCAGCAAAAGGAGATGCCATGCAGCCAGGGATAAAAGCAAGTGATGCAGACGAACAGATAGAAAAGTATGACACTGATATAATCAATACATCTAGTAATGTTATTCTTTTAATGTTGTTATTTTCTGACCATCGCTGCACTTCAACATCAGCATCCTTCAAGCAAAAATGATGTGGTGCTCTTTACTGGCATTTTGACAACTTTCTCCCAATTCCCCTGTAGTTGCTACAACTCTGTACAACTCCTTGTTCTTAAAGGGCCAATATTATGTGTTTCTCAGGCATACATTTTAATACTATACCATAGTAAAGTATCTATGTCACATTTAGCTGTTATTAAAATGCTGTTTTTATGTTTAAATAGAAAATAAACTTATCTTCTCATCACTTCCTCTTCTAAATGCCTTGAAATTGGCCTCTGTCTCTTTAAGAACCTCCTTCTGCTTCTGTCTCGCCCATTTTGATGTGGGGGGGGGGGGTTCGTGCTCACGGGGCGAGGCTGCCATGATGCAGTTTACTTGGCATCTGAAAATACATTTCCTCAAAGGTATTTTTAATCTGAAAAGAGCTTCACTGAGTGAGAACTAATGTTGAGAGCTCCGCAGACAGTTTCAGTTTCACTTTCAGTTTCACCCGAGAGCCTGCAGGAGTCATGTGCGGGGTATGTGGGGGGGTGGGGGCTCTGCCATGAGGAAGTTCAGCTTAAAGACACGTCCCAGGGGTGTTTCGGGTCCTAAAGGCATTTCTGGTCCCCACCTGTCGTTTTGCTCCTCAGCCTGGCTTCCTAAAAACACTGCAGGATTTCTCAAACATGCAAGAATKAGTCAAAGCAAGTCTTTGGACATGTTTTTTTTATGAAAGTGTAACATTATAACATGATATAAAACTCAAAAAAGTTGATTTTACATGATATTGCCCCTAAAAAATAGGCACAGGCACACTTCTTCTCCATTACTCACATTTTATTTGCAAAAAATGTCACTTAATAGAAAAATAATAAAAATTTCACTACTATCTCACCTCCATACTTTCACTGGCATCTTATCAGGTCCAACTGATTCCGCCTTCCTCATCCTCTGAGGCTTTCCTAACTTTGTTTTCACTCATTTTTATCACCTCCTCCAAAGTTTCTATGACCTCGACTTACCTTTACCTTTCATACTCTTCATCTCCTCCAAGTAGTCATTCCACCTTTCCATCATGCTCTCCTTACTTGTTTAGAACATTATCATTTCTATATTTAATAAGTCTCACCTGCTGCACATTCTTTTACGTCAGTTGATACAATTCCTCTGTTTTTTACTGTTTAGCTTCTTGTACATTTCATCATATGCCTTCTGTTTTGCCTTTGCTATCTCATCCGTATTACTACATCCTTTGCAAATTCCTCCTTCAGGACCACTACTTCATTTCTCTTCCCATTCACATTGTGGCAAAATAGCTAAAACGCTGCCCCAATGCTGCAAGACTTGCTGTTATTTCACTTGGTCTCTTGTTTATGAAATACATCTACCTTCCTTCTCTCTATATTTTCAGCCAGCTCTCTACTTTCCCTGTCAGTGGCCTGAAAATAAGAGTTCCTACCCTCAGTTCTACTCTCTTTACTTTTTCTTTTCTCCCTTTGTCTCCTGGCATGTTTTCTTCTCATGGTCTTGAAGTTAGTTCTAAGGTTTTTCAGCATACTGTATTTACTTTAATGAATGTGCTCCATTGTCCAAAACAAATAAAGTACATTTACATTTATTAGTCAAATTATAGCAACAATAAGCAATATTGGACTCTGTGAACTGATGCATAAAAATGTATGTTGTTTCAATTGTAAGATATTTTCTATTTTTTGTTTTTGTCATCAGGAACCTGTTGGTTCCAGAGGGGTTTCCCTCTGAACGACCATGGGCTCGTTTCTGTGTGAAGGTGTACCGAGCTGAAGGCCTCCCCAAGAACAACTCCAGCATCATGGCCAATGTCACCAAGGCCTTTATAGGAGACAACACAGCACTTATAGACCCTTACGTTGTGGTCAGCTTCTTCAAACAAGTGGTGGGCTGAAAATTGTTTCTAAGACATTTACCAGAAAGCTATAGCATCAGATGCTCATATCAGAAAAGCAGCAGCTTTACTCCAAACTTCCCACCAATGAGGTCCTTAGTTTATCTCTATGATGAAGCTTGGCCATTCTACAAGGATACATTCTACAATCATTTGTGAAAACTCCCAGATAATTAAGGGTGTATTCACACCTGACACATTTGGTCCGCTTTAAACGGACCTGAGTTTGTTTCCCATGTTGGTCTGGACCTTTTATGCAGGTGTGAATACATTCATGCAAACCTGGTGCAGATCAAACAGCCAGACTCATTTTTTAAAGGGGGTCTCAGTCCGCTTCCAAATAAACTCTGGTGCGGTTAGCTTCTGGTGTGAATACAGACCGGCCTCGAACCGAACCAACTACAGGAAACACGCGCCTTTTTGGACTTCACGGGCTACCGTAGTTAAGCAATATTAGCCCTTCAGTGTAGCTAACGCTAAAACTACGCTACAAACAATGAGCCGTTGTGGGTCAGAGAATGCAGAGCATCTTGTCTCCTTCAGGTTGTGGCATGTATTTGACAACACTGTCCCAAATTTATAAGTATTTCACTGCAAAACTACCACTGAATGAGCTGCTCTTATAATAGTTATATTAACAGCACCATCTTTATTTCTGCGTCTGTGCTCTGTCCTGCCCCCATCATTTCTGTCCAATGGATCATCACCTGTGGGGCTTTGTTTATAAATTATAGTTCACTTGCAAAAAGCAGATTCCGATACCAGCATCAAGTACTCGTACTCGTACTCGTAC